TAGTCCCAAAGCCTTGGTCTATGATGATTTTTACATTATGCTACATAGAAATGTACATTAGTAGTCCCAAAGCCTTGGTCTATGATGATTTTTACATTATGGTACATTGGATATTTTTATCTTATGCTGACAGTAATTATAAAATATGTTACATGCTTTACTTCATTTACACCTCATATATCAAATGTTGATTCCATTCATATCCATGGAGGCTTTCAGCAGGCGGTATTTAATGTACATGACTTCCTGGCATTATTCACTTAGATTTGACATTCAAAAATGTTATTATGTGTTCATGGCAACTATGATGATAATATTTACCCATGATGCAACAGATTTATTTATTACCATTGATGCAACACTCTGTATAAAAACAATTATTTCCACTATTTTGATGTTTCACTGCATTTTCAGTTCACAAATTGACACAAAAACAATATTAGGTTATTTTACATGCTCATGTGTAAATATAATTTAGGATTATATTTATCGGTGCAAATAATGAAATTAAAGCAAAGTGAATAATTAATGCATTTACAGTAATACAATATATTTAAAGAAAGGAACTTACATGTCCATGGTAACATGCACAATTACAAAGGGTTCGTTCTAGCATGCAGGGACGTACTACGACAGCCAGTCACAGGGCCTAGCATGCAAGGATGTACATTTTTGTACTACCATAGCCAGCCACTTACGCCTTATATCGGGTATTCACAATTAATTTGCAACATTTACGAATTTTATTTTGTTGACCCATGGCAAGTAAAGGGGTATCAAAATAAGGATGATTTTCCATCAACTCTTCCACTTGTGCATTCCTGCAAAATATACATAACTGTCAGTGAAACAAATAACATGATGGTAGCAAACAAATCAGAGTCAATACAGCTGTAATCACAATAGATTAAGATTAAATATTCAAAATATTCTTGATATGTTTCTGTATATATTTATATGGTTGTGAGTGTTGATTATAACATCTAAATACAATTTTTCAGCCATGGAAATTTGTTATCTTGAACACTCTTGTCAATATCTTTCAGTAGACACTAGTTACTGCAATATGTGCGTAAATTATTATTCATTACAGACACATGATTATTATACACCATATCACAGTGAATAGACTCATACCTTTTCTGTTCAGCTTGTTGTTTCTTTTCTTGTATTACCTTGATGTCTATTTCAACACTTTTATTTGCTAATGAATCGCCGTTGTCTTTGATAGCTTCAAACGCTTTGCTTCCCCTTACAGAACCTGCTCTCAATGCTCTGAAGAGAACAACATTTAATTTACTAAAACAAGTCTTGATAACATTAAACTATTCTGACAGAAATTAGAAATAATTTTGATATTGCTTTAATATTACCACATGATGTGTTATATGTTATTTTAATAGAGATCCTTCACTGTGAATAAAAAATCAAACCAATCAGCAGTATTGCAATGTAGCTCACTGTTTTGCAAACAAAGTATTGATATTGATATCAGCTTCCTTTACATTTGAACTATAAATATTGTTGGTTCTATATTGCAATACTGCTGGTGGAGTTTTTCGTTCACAATAACAATTTGTACCTAACATTTGACAGACACAGAGAACTAAATATTCACTGTAGCTGGTCGGCGTGGTTACTATACCTTCTATCTCTGCTTCCATACTCCATCGGTCCCAGTAACCCCTGTCCTTCTTTAACAAACTGACTTGCATCTCCTATTGACAACAATCTTTGATTGCCAGAATCTCTGTAGTAGTAGAAATCACACAAAACAATGTGTTATTGTTTTTCAAATCTCAAATCAGATCTCATAATAACACCCACCTGTAAACCCAGATGTACACTTGTTACATGCACCTCAATTGAAAACAGCCAAGTCATCTCTGAGGGTAACTGACATGTTAAAGTACCAGGATTTATGTTCAAAATGGGCACTAGACAGCCATATTTTATCAAATCGAAAACAAGTTGTCCACAGTATCTATTGTCACTGTACTTGGCAGCTTGTGGCATTAGATGGACATTCAAAATCCAAATTGACAGTCCACATTTTCAAACTTTAGAAGAGAAGATATAATGTACTAAAATACCTGACAATTACAGTAATTCCTTGCTTCTTCTGTGACATATTAGCAGTTCTTAAGGGCACAGAGGATCTCCATGTTAATAATTTCATTTGACAAGGTGGGGTATATGTCTGTGGTACATTGGCTGTGTTGGCAACTTTGCTGCTGCTTTTCAGTAATTTTTCAATATTGCTGTCTGTCTCAATGAACTGTCGCATAAAACTTTCCCTAAAAAATAATGTTGTTGGAATATTTAAATATAAATATATTTTTCATAAAATGAAAAATAAGAACCAATAGGATTCAATTACTGTACAAATATTGAAATACTATAGAAAATGTAAGCACATAGAAACATGACTGTTGATATGAAACCAAGATACACATGTCACAATTTAAGACATAGTTCAACAGTGGTTAAATATACAAGACTAACTAAATTCAGTGTGCTCACCTTATTTTAGGAATGGAAAAATCAGACGGAAGTTTGTACATTCTTACCATTTGTGGTTGATCACTGAAATAAACACAGGTAATAAAATCAACTATAAAGTTTATATTCAAACCACCAAAAGCCCATGCCAAACCACTATTATCCCAATTAAAGATGACCAGTGTTGTATAGAGTTGTGCTAATATCAGTTTTACTTCAGTAGACTAACTGGGTCCATGTGATTTGATTGACTCTATCAACAACAACAAACAGTTACCTCTCATCATAACAGCATGTATTGCTAAAATAATTCTAGTATGACTTTGACTTTCTTTCTTTGAGGTATTTTTTTGACGTGAACATGAGATTTACTGATACATGCTTGGACTGTATTAGATCTATATTAGTGTAGGATTGCAATTATATATTGAAAAGGCTTTCTGATCATTACACCACTCCCTTTTTCAAATTAAAGAAATAAAAACATCAGCAAATGGGGAAAACACAAAACACTTACGGAAATTTCTCAAAGATGCGAAGTCTGAGGGGTAACTTTGTTTTGGTACTCATAACTTCTTCAGAGAATTTAATTTGTTTTAATCTCTTCACTTCTTCATCTAATTCCAAGTTATCCAGAATAACAGCAACAAACAAACTGAGTACAATCTACAAACAAGACAATTGTGTTTAGTAAGCAAGGTATATCTCCTTTATTATAATCACTTTAACCTACAAATATTTTACACATGTACACATTATCATTTCATGATAAAATTGATACCAAATCACTCAATAACATTCTGAATGAACTCAAGACACAAACTGATGTGAAATTTGGTTTATAAAAAACATGACTAAAATGTTGAACACACTTCGATTGGGTACATTGTTGTTGAATGAAAAAATAACCATTTATAAAAAAAATAGAACATTTCTATAATTGTGAAACAAAACAATGTGCTAAAGCAATCCACCATAAGTGATATACTTACCAATTTTGATTAAAATCAAATTACAATCATTGGTGTAAAATCATTGTAAAATTAGGCACCTACCTACCCAGGGAAACTACTCAATCTGGCCCCTGTTTCAGGCTGTGCCTGACGAGAGCTAATATTAAATATATGTCGACATATCATTCTCAGCTGGATACCACAATTAATGAATATCGGTAATTAATTAAAAACAAGCCATGCACAGTCCCCGTTAGTTATCAAATTTAAGATATATAGTTTTGTTTATAGTAATATGGCTGGAATATAACCATGTCAGGAATATGATTTTTTAACATTAAAATTGACATTTGTATCTGATCGTCAAACAAGTACTTGTTCATATTAATATTGCTCTGGAACAGCATTCAAAATCAGCCATTTTGAATACATGTAAATATATATAACATGATGTATAACGAATATATAAAATTTGAATATAATCAGTCAAAGCATTTAAGAGATATGGCTCTAGAAGTTCAATCATTAAAACAAAATGGCCGCCAGTCAGGAGACGTGCATCAGGAACCCGTAATGTCTAATGTATGTACCAAGTTTGAACCAAATCCATTCATAAATGCCAGAAATGCTTGATATTTGATGATTTTTTAGCACAAAAAAACCACCATTCGGCCATTTTGAATAGGATCGTCAAACCAATATATCTGTTTATCTATGACATGATTTATAATGAATATTTAAAATTTGAATATAATCAGTCAAAACAAGTCTGAGATATGGGTCTAGAAGCCCATTCATTAAAACAAAATGGCCGCCAGACAGCCATTTTGAATCCGATCTGAAAAATAAATGATGTGCATCAGGAACCTGTAAGGTCTAATATATGTACTAAGTCTGAACGAAATCCATCCATAAATGCTTGATATTTGATGATTTTTTAACACAAAAAACCACCATTTGGCCATTTTGAATAGGATCGTCAAACCAATATATCTGTTTATCTATGACATGATTTATAATGAATATTTAAAATTTGAATATAATCAGTCAAAACAAGTCTGAGATATGGGTCTAGAAGCCCATTCATTAAAACAAAATGGCCGCCAGACAGCCATTTTGAATCCGATCTGAAAAATAAATGATGTGCATCAGGAACCTGTAAGGTCTAATATATGTACCAAGTCTGAACGAAATCCATCCATAAATGCCAGAAATGCTTGATATTTGATGATTGTTTAGCACAAAAATGGCCACCATTTGACCATTTTGAATAGGATCATCAAACCAATATATCTGTCTATCTATGACATGATGTATAACGAATATTTGATATTTGAACATAATCAGTGAAAGCAAGTCAGAGATATGGCACGAGAACCACATTCATTAAAACAAAATGGCGGCCATTCGGCCATCTTGAATCAGATCAAGAAACAAATTGACGTACATATGTACATGTATAATATCATGTATGATGTATGTGTGAAGTTTGATTGTGATTGATCCAGACATTTCTAAGATACAGGTCCGGACGCACGCACAGATGCACGCACGCACAGACACACGCACGGACACACGGAGGTCAAAACATAAGTCCCCGTTTTCGGACTGCGTCCGAACGGGTACTAACTAGCAGTGTCATCCTCAGGTCTACCAATAAAACTACGGTCAAAGGAATAATTGGAAACATGGCAGTCCTGCACTTCAGGGACAGATAACATGGAAATGGCAGATATAATAGTGCAGACAACCAGCCGCAATCAACTTATCACAATCAATTCGGGACAGTGCTTTCCTTATTATCATCCTCATCTTCAGATAGATCTCTCGGTAAAACAACCCTAGCGATAGCTTTGGGTAGTAATGCTATAATAATATGCTCCTCCAGTACCCACTTGACGATTTTGACATAGGACACAGAAACAGCAGGGGTACCTTAAGTGGCCAAGATTTGTGGCTAAGTAGACTGTTGGATTACCAATTGAGCTTGCAGAGTCTCATGTAAGCCATTCCTGCACATGAAGCACATGAATTACCTCAGTAATGATACATCCAAAATCAATACTGTGAAACTGCTGGCTGACACAGAAGTGTGGATGTCCAGGTGCAAGTGCAAGTGCAGGTGCAGGTGCAACAGAAACAGAAACAGAAATTTCCATTGAGTCTTTTGAAGTGGAGACCAACTAATTTGCATCATGGCTTTTCCCTGGAGAGCCCAGTGTTGCTAGGCAACTTGGAAATAACAAAACCCTATTTATCTAGTACAGACAATAATTTAAACATTACAAATTAGTGGTAATAATTGACTTGTAACAACATAAACAAAAATATGCACTGCCTCAGAGGCAAAGTGCTCACACTAGTTAATTGATTAATAAATATTATAATTACCACAGTAGCAAAGAGATGGTAGGAGATGAAGTAAATAGCCACGATGGGTGCAAATGATCCAGTGGCAAACATGCTTTCATACATAACAACCACCCAGCCTTTCTGTGTTAAGATTTGAAACATGGACATGAAGGCCTGTAAATAAAAATCAACAATATTATATCAGGGTAGAAATGATACTAGAGAATGCAAATGTTGATTTACAACACATTACAGTGGGCATGGTTTGAAACATGTGAGTTAAAATGACATCAATAACATACTAAAAATAATTCAATTCATATATCTAAAGTTCTGACAAAATGAAATGGTATGTTTATTTTTTGAATGCCATTTTTGGTTTATAAATCATCAGAAAAACACTTAACAGATGGAAAAAAAACATTTTTTATAATCCACTGGTAAGTTCTTGTTTTATGATCTTAATGGTAATGCAATTATGTAAATTACACAGACCTCCCATGTTGCTGTTCAGTGTCACCCATGCCTCACTAATATGAGTATGTAAATAACATTACATATTCTCAACATAATTACCATGGTAACTTACCGAACTAGTGAATAGATGGTAGATAATAAAGAAAAAGATTACTAGCGGTGCGTAGTGTTTCTGAACCCCTAACAGACATCCATTCACTATATCAACCCACCCTTCCTGAGTCAGAATTTGAAACATTGACATGAATGTCTAAAACATTGGAGTGCAAAGAAAAATATAAACAAGCTATGATAATAAAAGTAAGTACAGCGATAAAGGTACAATATATGTGTATTACTCAGTCTGTGTCTAGATACTTCAAAGTTTGATGTTGTATATTTGGCAAAACTGTTGAAAGCATGTCCAAACAAATCAAATTTGAAAGTTACTGCTTTTGTGAGTTATACTGAAACTTATCTGCTAAGTTATTATAAATTCTGTCATGCAATGCTATTTGAATTATACTTTGTGACTATGCTAAACACAATAAACCTAGTAAGTACATAACGTTTGTTCACTCAGACGCAGTGGTATCATTAGTAAATTACTCCTACAAATTCAAAAGGATATCAGATATACAAGAAACTGGGTATGAGTGGGTCACTTTGTGTATGAGTGGGTCACTTTGTGTATGAGAGGGTCACTTTGTGTATGAGAGGGTCACTTTGTGTATGAGAGGGTCACTTTGTGTATGAGTAGGTCACTTTGGGTATGAGTGGGTCACTTTGGGTATGAGTGGGTCACTTTGGGTATGACTGGACTGGATTCAGAATGGATTTTAGAATCACAGGTTTGACCAGGTTTGCTTAAAGTTGGACTTTGGGTTTGATTTAGAGTAACTAAATCATATTTTACTGTGTTTACTTTAAATAATGTATAATAATAAGCAGTGATTGTATGTGATGTGAAGAGGTCCACTACAAGTGATTTTAAAGTATCTGGTGTTTTTTCAATCTAATACAATTTTTTTTTTATTTTCACATTAAATTATTAATCTACTACACCAATGCAACTTGTATGGAAGCTAAATATTTGTTTTTAAGTATATATATATATATGCTTGTAATACAGTGAATTTCATAAAGACATGAATGTTTTTATGGAAATTTATGGAAGACCCTTACGTTTCATTCAAATTCAAAGAATTGCTTTCATTTGCTATACATGTACATGCTGTATTGGTAATGCCCATTACCCATAGTTCTTTGTGGGTTTCATTTAGTTATTAACAGATTTAATACAATGCATTTATTAACTGATGATGATTGGTCAAGTTTTTTAAACTGTCATTTGAAATTATAGTTATTATTTTTATATAAAAAAACCATATGCCTTTATAACATTCAAAGTCAAAGAAAAATTTCATGTACTGTTATAGAATACTCACGTGAGGAAAGGTCATGAAATTTTCCAATTTTGGTATGAAGCAAAACAACTGAAGACTGATGACAGAAACCACAATTAATGAACTCATTGTGAAGAATATGAGAATTCCAAGCTTCTTACCCGGTCCAAATACCTAGTGACATAAAGCACAGAATTAGTATATGTTTTACCCAGGTTATGGTAATGTATAATAAACTGTGGGATACACATCTTATTTGTTCTAATAGAAACACATATGATATTTTTACAACAAAATATTTCCATTTTATTTTGTTTTTAGCTACTCATACAATAATCACTGCATACAATGTAATGTAATAAATATGCACAACAGCAAGACTTTGCAGGTAAATATGTTTGATTTGAAACACTGTTTTAGTATATCATTGGTGAAGATGTACACACCAATGAATATATCAACACTATGTAATTAAAAATGGCCAAACATCTGTTGAAGGAAGAGTAATGTGAGCCATTAATACAGCAGCACCAAGTCCTGTAAGACACATATGATACATGTAAATGTTGGCTAGTGTATTAAACAGTGATAAGTCCAGGCATATCCATGATACAAATTGGATTGAATTGCACAAATACAGACACAGAGATCATTTTTTAAGTCTCCTCTGCAGACTAATAATATTCGAAATTTAAAGAAATTTGAGTGATTCATAAAACAGAAAAAAAAAAAATTTCAGTTGAACATGCTCTGAAGAACCAATATGTACTTGTTTCCACACATCAAAGGCATAATCAAAATTACTGGCAACTTGACTTCAGAGTGACTTTTTTTTGTGAAACCCAATATTTATAGTAAATAGTATAGAGAATAAACCCAAATATAATACATTCCAGGATATACTAATGTTCGTATATTACCTACTATTGAAACAGATTGCCTGCTGGACTTTAAAGTATTATATCATGCTTTCTTACCTTATATACAAAGTCTTCTAAAGTTGGTGATCCCTTTATAAGTCGAGTACATCTCACAACCTAAGTAAATATCATATGAACAGAAACTACTCAATATAAGCCTAAAATTATAAATATTTCTATTAATATAAAATATAACAATTGAAATGAAAATTAAAATTTACACATATTTCTTCATATAGTTCAACTGCTTTATATTTACAGACTAGATCACAGAGTAGATTAATAAGTACTTTTCAAGCCATGCTATATGTCACACTGGTTTACTGTAATCATGAAAAATACAATGATAAAGACTAATGTCATGTTTGAACTCAGTAATTAAAAAAATCGCTCAATGGTTAAGTCTCATGCAGAGTTGCAAAGGTATCCATATACTAATACTAAACTACTATTAACACTTGTCAACAGAGAGAGAAATTACCTGAAAGTAGGTCAGCTGTGTATGGTAGAAATATGGTATGATGTGTATCGTGGTTCCCACAGCTAAAAGTAACTCGTATTTATGCAGTGAACGCTTGATGAACCCGGAAAAACTGAGACAACTTATCTTGAACAAGACTTCAAAGTCAAAAATTAGAGTGAAGACAATCTGGGAAAAAAAGGAACTTGTTGGATTTAGCATAAATACTTTTTCCACTATGCTCTAGTAATTGTTCAATATACTCTACTTGAAGTATATCAGCAAATAAAGCATCGTTTTGATGTACATAAAAAAACTACATGTACATTCACTTATTATTATAATATTAGTTTGATATGATTTTAAAAGCTAGTAGATTTCCAGGATGTAGAGCTCTTGATATTTTATTATGAATCAGTCACTTTATATACATCTGATCTGTTTTTCAGTCTGTACAAATCATATACAATGTTAAACTGAAACTCAATGTTTAAGAGAAATTATGGGAGTGTAAGAGACACTGCTAGAGTAAAACATTAAAGTATCCACAAAGTGCAGACTCAGAAGAAAGATCAATGCAGCATCAAGATATGAATGTGAGAAGACTCAAAGGCTGCTACATTACCTGTGCATAATACTGGAAATCTTTATATTGTTTCTGCTTTTTTTCATCATCAGTGAACGTAGAAGATGTAGCTGCAATCACTGCATCAGCAAAGACTAATAATAGAACAGCTAAATGAAATATGCGAGATTGAAGAATAATTTGACAACAACGTGGTGCAAAGCCTGCAGGCTTGTTTTCATCAACTGATACCAATTTCCAGCCACTTCCATCATCATGAATTACCTGAAAATAACAGAATTTAGTTTTAGAGAAGAATAATCAAAACCTGG